ATACTATAGTGAAGTATCGACAATAAACGCAAAAATAGTTTGAGTATTTGAGCTTAGGAAACGTGAATTAAATAAAGCTTTATAAAAGTAAAATTAATGATAAATTTATATTTCCATATTTCTCCACCGCTTTAAAATTCTAACGTTAATATTTTTCCAATAGCATGACAAGTTAGTAATTAACTTGTGTTAAGAGAGTCTTGAGAGAATAAATTATTTATTTTAAAGAATACTGTAAATTGATTGCTTGTATATTGTTTTACAATCCCTCTCAAGAATGTTTTACTCATATGGTGTCGCAAACACTTGTCGGCGGAGAACTGCAAACTATGTCCTATACTCGACTCCGCGGGCCATTTAGTAGGAAGATATCTTTTTTGTTCCAGCACATACTGCGACAGGGGACCTCGATTTATGCGGTCTCATCAAAGGGACCGGTCTCTACGTCCAACAGTGAAATTTGCGAATTTATAGATAAACCTTTTTCTATAATATACCGAGCCAAACTTCCAAAATCCGTTCTTGTAGTCATTCCAGTTTCTGAAGAAATTTTCTGATCCATCCTGTCTCCACTGTATAACCTGGAGTAAAAATATGTTTACTTTTTTTCTAAATTGACAGTGTTTTCTTCATTCATATACATAAATCAACACTCATATTAAACGTAAGTATTGCTTAAACAGCATAAACAGTGTTATTTTAATAGTATTGAAAATACACATGTAAATCATAAGTACACTTAATGATGTGCGTAATTTGCTTCAAAATAAACTTTCAAAACAGACATTTTTCTTTTAATTCAAGTAATGATCAATATCAAATCTACAACTTTTGCGTAGTTATAATACCGGTAATTAAAAGTATATATCCTCGAATCACGAATCTTTTTTCAACACAGGGGCAACACAATTTATTGAATCTCCGTACGATAATGAGTATGGCCATTTTTTTTACTGATTTATACAGAGTTAGCGCATGTTTATCTATTGTTCTTTTATTAACAGTGCATGTAGTTGTATATTTGCATTAGTAATTATGTTTTAAAAAGAGATTAATAGACAAACATACGATCATGGTTTTAAAGAGGAATAGCTTCTTCTAACACCCGCACTCTCTGTTGTAACACAAGCGATGTGACACGTTGAAAATTTCTCCACGTGATATCTTTCTTCAGGTAACTCTGTGAATACTAATTTCCGTCACGTGACTTATAGGTAGCTCATTTTAACTAAATAGGACACAGCGCTCAAACATGTTGTCTTGTAAGCCATCGATTTAAAATATCATTTACCTATATTGACGGGCTTATATTGTTCAGTACATTTCAAACCCTTGTAAAAAAGGTGCTTGTGTAACACATGATAAAGACGGGAATATACTGATCTCGAATTTGTAATACATATCTGCGTTATGCATCTAGTCTAATTTAAGACCCATTTTTACGATGATAGCTCCGAATCCCACTGATGGACGTGGAGATCGGTCCTTCAGATGAGACCGTATAAATCGAGGTCCCGTGTCGCAGTAGGTGCTGGCACAAAAATGATTCCTCCCTGCTCAACGGCTTTGAGTGCCAACTTAAGTACAAAATTTGCAGCTCTCCACCGGCAAATGGTGGCGTCTACATATAAGTGAAAAATTCTCTCGAGAGACGTTTAACAACATATAAACAAACAAATCCATGATAGCTCTGCCTCTCTTCTAATGCATACATACTGTTCAATCAAGTACAGGTAAGTGAGAATTATCTGAATTTTTTTTAACAGTAAAGTCAAGCTGGCTATCTCCAAGAATCACACAAGTTCAATAAGTTTAATAAATTTATTTACAAAAAAAAAATAATAATAATAAAGATCTCACACAAACTTACCACACAAAAATTCACACCCTCTTTCTCACTATTAAACAATTAAACAAAGAGAAAAAAAAACAATTGGTAATCAACAATTACCCAATTAACAAATTCATTAATCAGCCAATCACCCCGGGTATCTAATTCAGTTATTAATGCCAAACATGTTCACAGATCATAGATTATCCTCGTCATCATCACGATCATCATCATCAACATCATCCTCATCCTCGATGCAGGAATGAAATCAAAAGTTTGCCTTTTCTTATAAAGCGCTAACTCAAAGTTTCTTGGATAGACTTATCTGTTATCCGTTCACCAACAAATATTTGGATCCACGCACAGCACTCTTCCGGGCCTTAGTCCCTGGAACCTTTCGCCGTCACAATGATCCCCTCAGCTCAGTCTATGTATCAAGCACAGGTCATACCAATATCCATGACGCTACAATGATGCATATTTATAAATCACATGTTTCACTACACATGTTTGGCAATACCACTATATATGTTTGGCTATTCATTCTCAATATAAAAATAATCAAAAAAGTATTAAGTGTAATGGTTACCAGTTAACAAAGTCAAAACAAATTATTGCCAATATGGCGCACCTTACTTTCAACTTCCGGTCATTGACTTCCGCCCAGACATTTAAACCAAAATTTAAATGGACAAAATATTCTACACAAAGTAACAAAACACTTGTCTTTGAAGACAGATTTAATCACAAATTCCATCAAATTTTTATTTGATTTAGACAGAGAAATCACAAAAAATTCATGGGTATTCATAGGCGTGAGTACAAGAAAATAGCGAACATTTAACAATGAAAACTTTAAACGTTATCGATATAATACAACAGCCACTCGAACACTCTCGCTAACCGTCACACCCGAGTGAACAACAGGTAAAATGGTGAGAGCTGGCCAAGTTAAGAAATAAGAACGAAGTTGTACTTAATAATAAATTTGCATAAAATAAAAACTATATACAAAGCAAATAATATAATAATATCATAAGTAATACTTACCACGGACCTGTCTCCGTGCCAGTGTCAAGATAAAGCTTGTATGGCTATTAACATATACTAGCTGCTTAAAAAAACGTGTCTGCAGCTACGTTTCTCTGCCGGGAATGACCAGGCCTCAATTGTTCTGGTCGGCTTAGCTATCTTGCAAGGATTTATGGGTATAAAAAGCATAGGGAAAAAACGCGGGAAATACAAATTAAATATATAAGTGCAATAGTGATTGTTACACACCTCCCCCCTTAATGAAAAAAAAATGGTAACATTTTTTTAACAAACAGCAATCACTACCAACTTGCCCTTACAATTTTGAAATAACTGAACGTATTTACAAAATTCTGAATACAAACCTGACTAATTTCTCCTTAGCTGATTATTGGCGACTAAGGTAATCTGCGCCGACGTTTTGGCTTCCCTTTATAGCTTCTATCCGGAACCGATAAGGTTGTAATTGTAGAGCCCAGCGCATTAACCTCGAGTTCTCTGTTTTGGACTTGTTAAGGTATGTTAATGGCTGATGGTCAGTCTCCAATACAAACTCACGTCCATAAAGATATTGGTGGAACTTCTGAATTCCCCATACTCTTGCTAAGCATTCCTTCTCTATAACAGCGTATGATCTCTCTCTAGGTTGCAGTTTTCTGCTCGCGTAAGCCACTGGAAGCTTCTCTCCATGTTCTTCCTGCAAAAGAACTGCTCCTAGTCCGTCATCTGCAGCATCTGTTCGTAAGATAAATACTTCACTGAAGTCTGGAAGTTTCAGAATTGGTTCTGAGGATAACATCTGTTTCAGTGTATCGAATGAACGTTGCTGAATATCTGTCCAAACTACTTTGTTGGGTTGTCCTTTCTTTGTCAAATCTGACAGTGGGACGGCAATCGCTGAAAAATTTGGTATGAATCTTCTGTAGAATCCTGCCAACCCCAAGAACGATCTAACCTGCTTCTTTGTCATGGGTACTGGAGCATTTCGAATAGCTTCTATCTTGTTTGAATCTGGTTTCAGTCTCTGGTCACCTACTATGTGTCCTAAACAGTCTATCTGATCATATCCTATGAAACACTTAGACGGTCGCGCTGTAAGTCCTGCTTTCCTAAGTCTGGTGAATAACTCTCTCAGTGCCATCAGATGTTCCTCCCAAGTATCTGAGTATACGATGATATCGTCTATGAAGTTGTCAACCCCCACCATGCCGTGTAGAAGTTTCCTCATCAGTCGGCTAAACGTCGCCGGCGCATTCACTAATCCGAATGGCATAGTACGAAATTGATACAAACCAGACGATGTTGAAAAGGCTGTAAGAGCTTTACTATCTTCTTCCATAGGAACTTGCCAGTATCCTTTACTCAAATCCAATTTCGAGACAAACTTCTTCCCTGCCATCTTTGAAAATATGCTCTCTGTGTTCGGCATAGGCTCGGCGTCAAAGACTGTAACAGAGTTTAGTCTACGAAAGTCTATGCAGAATCTGTTTGTTCCGTCCTTTTTCCTAGCTATGACTACTGGTGATGAATATGGTGAGACAGATGGTTCTATTACATTCAACTGTAACATCTTCTCCACTTCTTCCTTTATGACACCCTCGGTATTGAAAGGAATAGGATACTGCTTCACCCGTATTGGATTTGATGATGTCAGTTCAATCTTATGCTTAACTAGTGTAGTCATTCCTGGAACGTCAGTGAGAACATCAGCATACGATTCGCACAGAGATTTCACCGATTCTAGTTTATCAGCTTCCAGTCCTTCATTGAAACATACATCTGACACTGTTTCTGTCTGAGTATCTGTTGGTAACATCATTGAATTCTGCTCATCAAGTGTTCCCTCTTCACTAAAGTCAATAAGTGATATGGCGCAAGTTGTAAGAACTCCACAGTGTATTTCCTCACGAGGAATGTACTGTTTCAACAAATTGGCGTGAAGTGTCTTTACTTTACTTCCCATCTCAACTTTGTAATCCATATCGCCAACTTTCTCTACAACTTTATATGGTCCTCGCCATTGCATCAAGAGTTTATTTGACTTTGTCGGAAGTAGAACAAGTACTTGGTCACCAACTTTCATCCTTCGATCCCTTGTTCTCTTATTTTAATGTTTTCTCTGATGCCTCCTTGCTTTTTACAGTTGTTGATGAGCAATCTTACATGTCTCTTCAAGTTTCTCCTTTAAGTCTAGTATATATTGGTAAGTAGTCTTCACCTCACTGTCTGGTATGTCCTTGGTCCACAGTTCCTTGAGTATCATCATCGGACCACGCACTGATCGACCATAGAGTAGCTCAAAGGGTGAAAATCCAAGGCTCTCTTGAGGTATCTCTCGATAAGCGAAGAGAAGTGCGTTGAGGTACTTATCCCAGTCTCTCGGGCGTTCAGCACACATGCGCTTCAACATCTGCTTTAACGTACCGTTGAATTTTTCAACAAGGCCGTTGCACATCGGGTGATACGGCGTTGTAGTAAGGCGTTTGAGTGATAGCAATCGGCTAACTTCCTTCATAACTTCAGATGTAAACTGCGATCCCTGGTCTGTAAGCATTTCCGATGGAACACCAACTCTGCTGAAAACGTCTACAAGCGCCTCTGCAACTCGTTCTGTTTCGATTCCTTTAAGTGCCACAGCTTCTGGATACCTGGTCGCATAGTCTATGATAGTGAGGATATATCGATTCCCTCTGTCTGTGACTGGCTGAAGCGGACCAACAATATCCACAGCTATGCGTTGAAATGGTTCTGATATCATGGGCATTTGTCCAAGAGGAACTGCAGGTACTCTTCCCTTAGGTATTGTTCGTTGGCATACGTCACACGAACGACAAAATCGCCTGACATCTGCTTGTACTCCTGGCCAAAAGAATTCTGCTAGTATTCTGTCTGTAGTCTTTTTAACACCCAAATGTCCTGCCATAAGACATTCATGAGCCATCTTCATAACCATTGGTCTATACTTCTTTGGAACCATCAACTGTCGATACGTCTTTCCATTTGACACCTTTGGACTACTGAATTCTCTGTAGAGTAATTGCTTCCGTATAAACATCCTGGTTGAACCTCCATCACCGAGCTCCTTTACTGTCCCTTGTTTAGCAATGTCCCAACTCTTGCTTAGCGAATCGTCTTTCGTCTGTTCACTTAATATCTCATCACGTGACACATCTTGAAGAGTTTCAGGAACCCTCAATGGTTTATAAGGCAACTGCTTCTTCTTCAGTTGACTGCGTGTCTCAACAGCAAATGAAGGTTTAGAAGTTTTCATCCAATGAATATCCGGGTTGTCTGGTTTCCGAACACCATCAAAATTCCCAAGAATCAGATCAAACATCGGTGTTTCAAAGCATGAGACTTCGATTGTTCCAGTAAAATATGGTGTGTCAACTTCAACTATCGCAACATCTGCATCTACTACGCTTCCGTCAGCAAGCATGCATTTGTGAGTTTTTCCAGTCAGTTGGTTTGACGTAACCAGACTTTTCCGAATCACCGCACCACGACATCCGGTATCTCTTAACACTGTCACAAGTTTATCGCCAACACATCCTTTCACAACTGGCATCACTCCATCATCAACTGAATTAATGTCACTTTGCGGCTTATGTGCACCAACATGAGAAGAGTCGTGTTCTTTTCCTTGTGAAAAGCGACGTCCATTTTTGTTGAATCCCTGTTGTGGTTTCTGTGGTTTATCAAATTTTTCCTGTGTGTTTGTCTTAATTGCTGATGACTTCCTCGAAGGACAATCAAACTGCTTGTGTCCGTATTTATCACAATTAAAACACTTGATTCCACCACTGGTTTTGGTTCCTTCACTAGAACTTGGAAAAGATCGCAAATTGCTTTCCAAAGGAAACTTTCTTGTCGAAGATTGGTCTTTGGGTAACAGCTGATGAACAAGTTGCTCTCGCCTCAACATACTGATCAGCATATCTGGCCATATATTGAATAGAAGGAGGAATTCGTTCCTTCAAGAATAAGGAAAGTTCTTTGTTACAACACAAAATGAATTGTTCACGTAACATCAAATCTTTGAGTCCTTCATAAGTCTTAACTGTTTTCGATAACTCCATCCATCGTTCCATGTAACTTTCAAGTCTAGTTGAAAACTGAATAAAGGTTTCACTACCATCAGGTTTTGAAGATCTGAATTTCTTTCTGAATGCATCCTCAGTCATGTCAAACCGTTTCATCAGTGCTTTCTTAAGTTCATCAAAGTCCAACGCACTGTCTGGTGGTAATCTAGCGAACACATCCAACGCTTTTCCTTTTAGAAGTGCACTCAAGTGAGCTCCCCAATTTTGTCTTTGCCATTGCTGTGAGATAGCGTATCTTTCAAATCGCTGTATGTACGCGTCGATGTTGTCTTTTGCCTCATCAAACGCTGGTAATTTTGGTCCTCTAACAGGTTGTTGTGTTTCAGTGTGATGTAGCGCAGTTGACTCAAGAACTTTATGTGATCTCTCTGCTGCCATCATTTGAAATCTGTGATCTATTTCCATCTCTTCAATTTTCCTCTTGTGTTCAGCCTCAGCGTTTTGTTCCTTCATGGATTCCAGTTCCAGCTGATATTCACGCTCCTGTTTAGCCATACGTTCTGCACGATCTTTCTCACGTTCGTCTCTAAGTCTTGCCTGTTCATTGTTCACAAACTGTTGAAGTTCTGCATCCTTGAGTCCCATTTGCGTCCCAACTTCCAAGAGTTCCTTCATCTCCTTGATGGTTGTCATCGTGCCTATAAGTACTGAGCCGCCTTACCAAAGACTTTAATGATTCAAGGATAATATTCTTTTTAATTAACAAATATGTCTCACGTCACCTTACCTTTAACCTATGAAAGGGAGCACCATACTTTCACTTACCTCTGTGTAACTATACAGGAATCCCAAGAGTAACTACTACAACTAACCTAACGTATTTACAACTACTTGGCAAACCTACACCTACTTAGTGAAAATGTGTAATTTGGAGAGGGTCAGCAATCCCACCGCTGCCACCAAATGTCACGTGGTCAAGCTGGCTATCTCCAAGAATCACACAAGTTCAATAAGTTTAATAAATTTATTTACAAAAAAAAAATAATAATAATAACAAAGATCTCACACAAACTTACCACACACAAATTCACACCCTCTTTCTCACTATTAAACAATTAAACAAAGAAAAAAACAACAATTGGTAATCAACAATTACCCAATTAACAAATTCATTAATCAGCCAATCACCCCGGGTATCTAATTCAGTTATTAATGCCAAACATGTTCACAGATCATAGATTATCCTCGTCATCATCACGATCATCATCATCAACATCATCCTCATCCTCGATGCAGGAATGAAATCAAAAGTTTGCCTTTTCTTATAAAGCGCTAACTCAAAGTTTCTTGGATAGACTTATCTGTTATCCGTTCACCAACAAATATTTGGATCCACGCACAGCACTCTTCCGGGCCTTAGTCCCTGGAACCTTTCGCCGTCACAATGATCCCCTCAGCTCAGTCTATGTATCAAGCACAGGTCATACCAATATCCATGACGCTACAATGATGCATATTTATAAATCACATGTTTCACTACACATGTTTGGCAATACCACTATATATGTTTGGCTATTCATTCTCAATATAAAAATAATCAAAAAAGTATTAAGTGTAATGGTTACCAGTTAACAAAGTCAAAACAAATTATTGCCAATATGGCGCACCTTACTTTCAACTTCCGGTCATTGACTTCCGCCCAGACATTTAAACCAAAATTTAAATGGACAAAATATTCTACACAAAGTAACAAAACTGAGTACAAGAAAATAGCGAACATTTAACAATGAAAACTTTAAACGTTATCGATATAATACAACAGCCACTCGAACACTCTCGCTAACCGTCACACCTGAGTGAACAACAGGTAAAATGGTGAGAGCTGGCCAAGTTCAGAAATAAGAACGAAATTGCCCTCAATAATAAATTTGTCTTTAAAATAAAAACTATATACAAAGCAAATAATATAATAATATCATAAGTAATACTTACCACGGACCTGTCTCCGTGCCAGTGTCAAGATAAAGCTTGTATGGCTATTAACATATACTAGCTGCTTAAAAAAACGTGTCTGCAGCTACGTTTCTCTGCCGGGAATGACCAGGCCTCAATTGTTCTGGTCGGCTAAGCTATTTTGCAAGGACTTATGGGAATAGTATGCATAGGGACAAAACGCGGGAAATACAAATCATATACGCAAGTGCAATAGTGATTGTTACATATTTCAAGGACTTTCTTCCAAATTAGATTGGATTTCTGACATTTATCTTACGATATGGTATATTGTATGCTTCTTTGTAACAAATAGTTCAATTTTGATTGTTCAACTTAAATGTTTTGTATTTTCTCATGAACCGATATCCAAGGATTAGATTAGAAAGTTAGAGAGTAAATACTAGACAGTATAATTAACGTTGTCAATTTTAAGTTGAGTTGATTCCAATTCTTTGGAATTTTCAGGAGTTAAAGAATTGTAAAAGATTAAAAAACAATACATGTACAAATATATAAATAAATCATAAATGATTATCTCAAAATTTTACGTTGTAAAAAAGTGGAAGCATTAATTATATTAAAAGAAAACGCATCTGCATGTATTAGTGTTTTAAAAACTAAATAGACGCGTTAATTACCGTCCATCCTCCCCCGTCTCTCTTTTGATCACAGTAAACCTTGATTCCAGTTCCTTTATTTGGGTAGATTGTGTACACCTTACTTTCTCTGTGACCTTTTAACAATAAGTCCTGGCAGTCTCTATAAACCATTTCTACAAATGTATGCGAGGGGAAAAGTGAACAATAAAGATTTGTAAAACAAACTTGAAATTAATTTCTAGTGAAAGAAAAACAATTACCTCGGTGGCTCCGACAATTCTGTAGTAGCCTGTGCGTTGATGTCAATTCCTTTTTTTTAATTCTCTTATAGCTTCTTTTATAGCCAGACCCGTTTCATTTTCAACCCTTTCTTCTTTGTTACAATAAGCTTTCTGAAGCTCAACGTGTTGTAGGGCAAGGCCCAGAAGTGTACAAAACGAATTCAGTGCCGTCATACATTGATTTGTTTGTTTAGTTTTAAACTTATCTTTCATAGCCTCGATTATACTCGGCACCAGCAAAAAATGCAAATAGGATGAGTTTCATTTTCTGTAAAGTAAAGAAATGTTAAAAACGATCCAATTCTTGTCACAGTGTCTTAGCGTTAAATGTTTTATTATACACTTACATGTATTCTCAAATATAGTTTATATGACTCAGTGTTACAATTATCTTTTAATACTTTAAATTGAGAATAATCACATAGTGTGGATTTGCATGTATAATACAATGCACATCATAAAAGAGCTATGTGGATAACGCATGATAAGAATTTCCATGTGAAAATATAGTATTACAGAAATAAAAATTAACTACTGTTTCATTAATTGTTTAAAACGTATACTCTTTTATTTTTATAATGACCATTGCATTTTCGTAACAATTTGAATTTTAATCTTATTCTGTATAATTATACATGTAATTCAACGTAAGATATTTCTGTTAAAAACATTAATTTTTATATTTAGAGAGGGGTTAGTATATTTTTTTGTATTTTTCCTTAAACTGATTAAGGATAAGAGGATATCTATATTGTGTGATTTGATATTGGCTTTATCCAACGAGTTGAAATGGTGTATTTATTCGCGAGGCTTGTTTTACATGTATTTATCTCATACAACTTTCGTTTTAACAAAACTTTAAGACTTCCCCTTTGAATCTACATGAATGATTTCTAATTCGAATTGATGACATATAACATGATGACGTAGACTGTTGATGTTGACATGTCTCGGTAGAAAGTAGATCATGTTCAAAATCTAGAAATTTTGCTATCTGCGTCTTTGAAAACATTTTGTGACAATTCCTGGAGCTTACATCAACCGAACTTCTCACTGAAAGTTGTTTAAGGCTTAATGGTAGTCAATACAGGTACCTTGATAAAAGAAGGCACTTCTTTTACATATAAAAGTCTCTTTCTTGCTTTTATTGACATTTTATATCTTTATCATTCATTTTATAAGGGCAAAAAATATTTACAAATGAAGTTTCAATGAAATACAATCTCGAAAAGAGGGATCATGTCAAAACCAGAAGTGCTATTGATAAAGCATCTACCCGTGGATAATACATAGGTTTATCTAACGGGTTGTATCATCCAAACGGAGGAGATAAATTATATTGAACATATAATGACCGATTTTAATGTCTTGTAAAGTTTTTAAACTTACACAATGCAAATTGATATAATTCTATCATAGGAATGGCTTTTTTATTGATCATCAATAATAAATCAATTTAATAATCTCTTACTTGTCCCAAGATTTCATGGTTTAAGCTATGTAGCAGATAATGTACGTTTATACTTACTTTTGAATAAAACGTATATTTCCTACATGTAGCCAATATGAGCGTGCACCATGTGTATGATACATATATATGTGTGACATTTTAAAAAATCACGCTAACTGATAATTATTAATTTTACAAGTTTTTTACTTTAAAAAGTTTTGTTGTGAAGAGGGAAAAATCTATATTTTTTCCCAATTACTCCAGATTTTCTTTTTTTTTTTTTTTTTTTTTTTTTTTTTTTTTTAATTACTAAAAAAGAAAAATAGGTGAAACACATGTTTAATATATATTAGCATATTTAAAAGATACAAGTCTTTGAATCACAACTGCAGAAGAAAGTGCGAGAAAATAAATGATTTTATTCATGGGTAAATAAGCTAGCTTAAAAAAATAATTGATGCTATTCAATCATATCGAACATACAGAAACAACAATCTAGCACCACTGAGACTGAAACCAGTGGATTGAAGAGGCGATTTCTAGCTACATATAATGTAGACACGTTCCCAAAATTTCGAAATTAAACGAGAGCTTGGCGGAATTGCGGACCTCTCTAGACTTTGCATGAAAATTATTGTTCTTTTTATTATCAGGCATATTACATTAATTATATATTCACTTTAATATATTGATAGTTACCTTGATATATTTTCTTCATACATGTTAAAGACAGATGATAAAAACATTTTTTTCTTTGGAGGAGACTTGATATTATGTCTCAAGTTTAGAAAAGTGGATAATTCTTAGAATTTTTTTTTCTCCAAAAAACTGGAAAATGAAATAAACTTGGAAAATATTAGTAATATTTCAATGAAATTACAAATATGGATAAAACACACTCAGTAGAAGTTTACAGATGAAAAATTATTTTAGAAGAATATGTTATAATGGTGTTAAAAGTGTAATAAAATTTAGAAAAGTATACCAAGCCAGGTGAATTTTATCAGAAAAAGCAAAATGGTAAAAATTAGCCTATATGATATTGATGAATTTTTGTCATTTTTTTTTCTTCCTAAAAATCGCCTTGGTTGGTATATTTTTCTAAGGTTCATATTGCACTTTTAGCACCAAGATAACATATTCTGATCTTTGTTTTCACCTGTAAACTTTTACTTAGTGTGATTTGTCTATTTTTGTTTTTTTTTATTGAAATATTACTAATATTTTCCAAGTCTATTTCATTTCCCAGTTCTTAGGATGAAAATTCTAAGACTTATCCACTTTTCTAAACTTGTGACTTTTTACTAAGTCTCTTCCAAAGAAAAAAACTGTTTGTATCACTTGTCCTTAATTGATGTTCTTCAGTAG